TGTGTGTGTGTGTGTGTGTGTGTTTGTGTGTATGGGTGCTGCCTGCACATGTATATATGTGCATGTAATGCCCTAGCAGAGAAGAGAAGAGGGTCCCAGATTCCCTGTCACTAGAGTTTCACATGGTAACATGTATGTGCTGGGGACTGAACCCAAGTCCTCTGCAAGAGCACAGGTGTTCTCAACCACTCAGCTATCTCTCCAGTCCCTGTTTTGTTCTTAAGGGCAATTTAATTCATCCTAAAGTTATTTCATCCTGGCGCAGACGCAGCCTACTACGATAGTAACCCTTAAAAGCAGAGTGAATCACAATGACTGTGTCATAATAGCATCACTGGTTTTTGTTTGTTTTGTTTATTTGTTGGTTTTGGTTTTGGTTTTGGTTTGTTCAAGTATCTTCTCTCCTGGATAAAGGTGTCATTTGTGGGAAAAGGTGGTCTGAGGTTACATCTATCCATAAAATTATGGACCAGTTCTCCAGACATGAATTTCACACTTGATATAAAAGAACATTGGCGCAATTGACACAGAAGCAGGGTCTGTTCATCCATGTAAATGTGAACACAGACCACGTTTAACTTCCTAAATGCACCAGTGACTTTAAAGCCCTTTGAGTTTCCCAATCCTTCCCAGGTATGGACAATCTTGTTCTTAATTTTCCACTAGTCGGAACAGATAACATGGCTTATCATCTTGGACAATAGTAGTTGTTGCCCGTAGGGTCTACCAAGTTCAAAAAGCTGGATTTCACTCTCTCCACCTCCTGTGAAGATGATGTACTTACCCCATGTGAGGATGCAGCAGGAAAGCAGAATATCACCCTGAGCCCATCTCTATTACACAAACTTGCATAGGAAATTAGGCCCTAACACACTGCTGACAGCTGTCTGTCTGACAACACAGCATACATTTCAGTGGCTGGCATCCTTGGTGCTTCTCCTTGGAATTCTCGTGGTTTCCTGGGTTTGTTCTGTTGTGTCTTAAACAAGATTTTCTGTATTTCTGAGACCTCCTCCTTATCCAGATTCATTAATACGCTAATTGACTAAGTCTTCAAAACTAAGTTTGAAAACATTTTCAAGCGTGACTCTGCCTTTTGCCCTCATAGCACACATACCGTGATTACACCAGTTCTCAGCGCTTTCGCTTTCTCAGTAGCTGCCTAGTAAAGGAATGAAAGCCTGGATGCTTTTTCCTCATAGCTCTTTCCCGTGGCAGCTTGATAGTACATGTGTCAAAGAACTTCTGTTCTTGATCCTAATTGGGTCTGTCTGTTCTCCCATGGCAAACATTTTATAATGAGGGTAAGTTCTTGTTCAACTATTTGTCCTGACACCTACAACTGTCTTGATACCTAACTGGAATAAATGATGATGACATTTTATGTTCTGCTTGGGTTTAGGAATGGCTTGGCCAATTGCATTGACTTCCTTTCCTTCTGTGAGTGGCAAATAACTCAGGAACTTCTTAAGAAGGCATTCTGTGCTAGCATTATTGTTTAATTTTATTTGAATAGGGTGGGAAGTAAGAACATTTCAGTGAAGTAGGTCATAAAATTTTCTTTGTAGGAAATTAGTACCAGAGAGATCTTAGACACACACTGTTGTAAATTAATGCCTCCTAATGAGAGAGCCAGTCTGTGCTTTGTCTAAAGATTAGTGAGAGATGAATAAAAAATACTTATTGATTGAAGCAGGAGATGCAAATGAGAGTTAAAATGCAAATGGAATGGGGAAAAGGTAAATTTAGAACTGCGATTAGAATGTTCTCTGTTTACTGAGGACATTTTTTTAAGTGTAAAATAGCTAAGACTGTGGCAAAGGCCTCCTTTGCTAACAGCTCATGGGATCTTGTAGGGGCCACTTCACCCCAGCCTCTCTCTCTTCAACTTTCTCTGAGTTTGTAATTTATTTTCTCATCCATATTTAAAACCTTTTTTAACCTCAGCTGCGATTATATTAGAAATTCATGGTAAGTGAAACCATGTTTCAGGAAATACCTTTTCTTGTTTTTGTTTTTAAAGGCATAGTTTCCCTATACCTGCCTTTCCACTCCTCCACATGCCCCTTTCTTCCTCTTTTCTACCCCGTTTACCCTCTTTGTTTTTCAAGGGAAATTGAATTTGGGTGTTTTTGATCCCTTTTCTAAAAGGTAATTACCAAAGTATTACTATTTGGATGACTTGATATTTAAAATACTTGTCTTTAAAGTTAAGAAAATGTGGACTGAAATGGATGGATGTTTGCTCTGAAAGCGTTCTATTACCTTAGCAACCCCAGGGGGCGGGAAGGAGAGATGCATCATTTGGAAGTCTGAAGAAGCTTTGACAGACATGTGGAGCCCAGCCCTTCACTGGGTTATCCTTCTGACTCTAAAAATCAGAAGCCATACCTCTTGTCTTTGACTGTTCACTTGGCCATGGGCACGTTTGTGATCCTCTCTGCCAAATGCTCCTTTTCCTGTATTATCAACTAGAGACTTTTAATTTTAAGATCTTCACTTATTGGAGCCCCAACTCAATGATTTGTGGATGAGGCTTGTAGCCAGATTCCAGTGTATGAAACAAATGGTATGTGGGTACTCTTGCCATTCTAAATAGCAGAGATGGATTCTCAGAAAATGCTGGTATTTATCTGAGACTGGCAGGGCATTGGAATGGGAAGGCATGAGCTATAGTAAGCTCTGGTGTATCAACAAGAATAAGACAATTGAAAAGCCTTTAAAGGCAAAAATGAAAAACTTCACTGGCGTTAGATACCCCTGGAGGACTTGGTATCAGCTCATTGGTAGAGGTGCTGTTGCTGGGTAAAGGTTCTGTTGAGACTCTCCTATATGGACTGTTGCAGTTTTAAAGAATGTTAACTTTGTACCTAAGTCAGTAGACATATGAGAGGTCTCCCAAGTACAGGTTGTGTGTCTAATAAGACATTTCTTCTGAACGTTTAAAACACCCTTTTCATTGACAGAAAGGCGTAAGTCCTCCACACTTCCTTACCTGCCTACTTTAATTCTGTGTGAGCCTCACGAGGATGATTTTATATTGGTATTGTTACCGTTTGCCATCATTTGCTATGGTGTGTGCACTCACAACTGTGGCACAGTTGGAAGAAGCAGGGGTGTCAAGAAGCCTATTTATTGTCTGTTGACACTCGATCATCAAGAAAATCCTCAGTCATTAGCAAGTCTTAGCAGAAGATTGGTGTCATCTAGACAAATTGGGAAAACCATTGTTTCCTAGCTGGAAGGAATAAAAGCCATCTCTTCAGGGAGCAGCTGAGAACTCTGAAATTGTACTTAAAGTCCTCCAGTGTTCAGAGACCCGCCTTATAGGCTTCACACAGTGGCCGCTTAGCGTATTTATCACCAAAAGCAATTTGCCATCTTGTTCTCATTCTCTGGGCAGCTGCGGAGAAAGGGAAGAAAATTAGCCATGAGAGAGACACGCTGGAAGGGTCGAAAAAAAGGGTCTTGGGTTAGTTGTTCAACTATGAGAGATTAAGTGGTCAACTTGGAGACTCAAGTTAAATTTCCTCAGTTTTTAGAGGACTTCTATGAATTTTATTTCTCCAAATAGCTTATACTTTAAGAATACAGGGCTATTGTATCTTTGTTGTTGCTGCTGTTGTTTTGTTTTGTTTTTGTTTGTTTTTTGAGGCAGGATTTCTCTGTGTAACAGCCCTGACTCAGTCTGTAGACCAGGCTGGCCTTGAACTCACAGAGAACCACCTGCCTCTGCCTCCTGAGTGCTGGGATTAAAGGTACTAGCCTATCTTTTTGACTGCCTTGTATATTGAAATATCCTATAATCTTAGAAGCATTTGGAGACTTTTAAATTGTAGTATATTGATTTGTGTGTGTTTATACTAGTGGAAACCATGATTTGGGAAGAAATATCACCACACTGATCTGTACTGTTTGAATTTTCAGAAATATCAGCCTGTTACTGACATGAGCATTCTGCCTTTATTTTCCCCAGATCTTATTGTTCAAAACATGTAAAAAAAAAAAAAGCATCAAAAACCATCATTCAACCAAAGAAAACCCCCACTATTAAAATGAAAGTGAATTTAGTTTTGAATGATAAATGACTTTTGATTCTAGTGTGGTGGTAGAGTGTCAGGCTGGCTGCAGTCGCACTGATGCCTCCTTTAGCCCCACTCCTCACAGCTTCAATTTCTCAACGTATCAAATTGGCCGGAGGATGTCTTAGCCTTAAATTGTACTAAAAAACAAAAATGAACAAACCACAACAGTCCAATGAGGTAACATGTATGAGGAACTTTGAAAAGTCAGAAAATATGCTGTGAAAACCATTTTAAGCTTCATTCACAGTTATTTTGCTATCTTTTAAACACATGTGATGTCCTAGAATTTATCAACTCATGGCATCACAGAATTTGTTTACAAATATTCCTGCCTATGCAGTCTAAAAATATAACTTATCCAAACCAACGACTTGGTTGATAATTTAGAATATATTTAATTTGATGCTTTAAGTTTTATTGATCTCAGCCTCACTGGTTACCAGTGTTCAGTGTTTTAGCAAAAGACACACATGATAGAGACTTGGCTAAGCACGGGCCACTATGTCTAGAAAGACTAAATGGAAAGACAAAATAATTAGTAATATGTTCTCTTTTCATAGGATGGTCTTAAGTCCAGATGTTAGAGCTTCATGAAAATTTATATCACATGGGATTGGTGGCTTCATCTAATTTTAAGAACATAGAAAGTTAATAATGGAAATTTTCATAAAACTGCCTAGCATTCTCCCCTAATATTGAATAAGCTTTACTGATTATTTGTTTACATGAACTGAAAAGTACTTACAAGATGTGTCTTTGTTTGGAAAGACATGCTGTCTCCCTCAGAGAACCTGAGGTTGTCAAAGTGACAGCCTCACAGGCATCATTTGTGCAAGCAAGGGAGAGCTCATCGCCCTCTACACATTGTATTGTTCTTTCTGTCCCTTCTGACGTTTTCAACCTGCTTGCCTCTAGGGAGAAGACTCCAGTGGAGGACACTCTTTGAAATCCTACATGGAGGAAGTGAGTTTTAAGAGGACCTCACAAACATAGCATGTCATCAGTCTATCATGTGAAATGAAACACTCACCCGGGCTTTCCCCATCTATCTTCCGGGCTCCTAATACACATCTGTTCACTGGCCATGTTTAGGAAAGTACAATAAATAGTGTTATCAAAATTGCTTTTGTTCCTCATTGGTAGAGAGATACTTTCTATCCAGTTATCTGAAAATGGAGGAGAAAGTCCATGAACCTAGTGCTATTATATGTTTCCATTCACAAACATTTGTTGATATATTTGTAAATGATAAACATATGTTTTGTACTGAGAATGAGCAAAAAAAGGACAGACAGACAGACAAGAAGAAAGAGAGTGAAAGAGAGAGAGAGAGTCAGTACTCATTCATGTGACAAATGCTTGTCATGGTGTTATTTGCTGTACTTATTAAAATGTAAGACACATTCTTGGAAAATGCCCCAGATTCCTGGTTTTGTTTGTGAAGATACTGAAAAGTATTCTGTTGCACAGAGCTTTGCACTGACTGACAGGCATTTGGAAACCCTCAGAACTTTGGCAGAGCCCCTGAGACCCGAAGCAAACCCATGGCGATCATTAAGAAAGCAGTGTGACTCTGCTGAAAGTGAAGGAAGTTCAGGGATAGGACTCAACTCTTGGATTGAATGCTGCTTCTCAACAGGAACCTACCTGCTTCTCCACTTCTTCCTAATTCAAGAGTCTATTCGAAAGACCTCAGATCTCCTGAGCATACTGTGTAATTCCTATCAGGATGGTGCATGGGCACTGAAATTCTCACTTGCTTCCAAATATCACTAGGAGGGGGATGTGGAATACCCAGTCTCTATAGATTTGCTATCTATCCAGACATAATAGAAACTTTTCAAAAAACACAGAAAGGAATAACGAATGATAGGAAGCTGGAAAGATGTGCAAGTTCACAAGCATCAAAATAAATGGGCAAAACGTGGTAGCATTGGAACATGAATACTAACTTTCAATTTGGTGATTTGATGCGAAGATCTAGAATATATTTGAACAATCAATGTTACACACAGGGAGGAAAATATAGGTATTTTTCCCAAATGCCCACCCGTAGAGTAGTCATTTAGAATTTTGTGATCACATAAGCTCTTGACTCCAGCCTCACCATTTGTTGGGGCTGAATGAGATGCTTCTGTGGAAAGGCTGGGGATGCCTCTTGCTTCTAGTCTAAGACTGTGAAAGGAGATCACTGAGGCTTGTGTGATATGGGCTACATACCAAGAATAGGCATGTTAGAGTGAGTTTTGATATTTGTGCCTTCTTGTTAGAAGTGCTTGGAAAGGCTTGCTGCTTGAGTGTGATTACATCAACACCTGCTGGAAGATTCTTAGAAACAGGAAGTCTCGGGATTCGTCCAGTATCAAGTACTCAGTCCTCTTTTGCTAAGCTTGCTTAGGTCTCCATGGGTTGCTACATACCATAAACTATGAAAAGCAGTTCTCTATCTAATTCTTTCCAGTGTAATTTCTAGAGACTAAAATCATGCATTGTGGGGACCCTTCCCCCATTCTGTATTCTGGAAAAGGAGACTAACTTCATTAATACATTGGAGTTTCGTGTACTCATCTGTTCTCAGTCATGTTTTGTTTGTTTATTGGAAGTATAAATTTCTCTAGTTTACAAGATCCATTACTGACTCTCTGCATGTACTTTACAAATATGTGTGAACCACCCAGTGTAAATGTTACCTATCTATCACCATGGTTCATTATTTCATGGAATTTTCATTTCATATTAGTTGATGTTTAGATGTTAGATATTCATAAACCAATGAATTATCATCGCAGTAAAATTGTGTGGTCTTGTTTAGTGACTTATGAATTAGTTAATAGGGTTTTTTTTCAAATTTTTATGCATTTGGTCTTTGGGAAATATGCATTAAAATTCTCCATTTGGAACCTGTTCACAATGTGAGACATAAAATGGCATTATTTTCTATTTATTTTTTTTCTTGCTTAGGCTTTCATTTCATTTTTCTCTTTAGGTTGTAAAATCAGCAAAAAAAAACCCACAAACAAACAAACAAACAACAACAACAAAAATTAGCACACACTAAAACTCAAATAAACCATACTGTTGATGTTTTAATATATTTAACATTTCTTCTTAAACTTTGATAAACGCTTAACAGATCAAAGTCTTGGTTCTTTTGTTTTGTTTTGTTTCCTTTTGGTGGGGTTGTTAGTTTTTGTTTTATTTACTTACTTAAATATAGTCATTAACTGTAACCACATTACATATTGTGTTGAGATCTAAATAGGAAAACTGAGGCAACATAATCTCCTTTGAAATTAAGCCTAAAATTATTCTGTATAATAATAAGCCTCATTTTATTCTATATAGTCTATTTTTAATATATTATTTCAGTCTGGCATTTCGATTTTTCTTTTGGGCCAGGGAAAGAGTTGAGATAGAATCTCTTTCTGCAGCCCTGGCCATCGTGTACCTTACCATGTAGACCAGGGTGGCCTTGAACTCACAGAAATATGCCTTCCTCTGCCTCCCAAGTGCTGGAATTAAAGGAATATACCATCAGATCCAGCTAGCATTTTGATCTTTGAGCAAATGAAAAAAAAAGATACTTTATGAGTCTGCTTTTCAAATCTTCAAAATAACTCTGAAAGTTGAATTTAAGAAATTGCATGCTTTTCACAAGTGAGTCACCTGACAACTCAAGGTAGGAATAATTTCAAAATATAAACCCTTTATCATTTGTCACAGTAAGGCTAATGCTTACTCAATAAAGTAAAAAATTTATCAAATTTAAATATTTCTAAGTCTTGTCATACCTTTTATAAAGAAACTAATGTACTTAAAATATCATGTTACCTAGAGGAATAATGAGGAATAAACATAATACAGTGTCTTGAAATGCCCTAGTTACTAATGGAGGCTATGGGGTGGACACAGACAGCTAAGAAGTACTGGTAACCTAAATAGTTAAGACGCTCCTGAGAACTACAGATTCAAGTCAACAGTGTCTGGAATTTTCTGGAAAGTAGTCACAACTTCAAGAAGGTGGTGATGGCCAGATGACAGAGTGGCAATTGCACAGGCAGCGTGAACTCACTCAGGGTGACAAGTGGCAGCTTTACTGTCCCTGAGGGCGTCAGTCATGAAATACAGCACTGGAAGCGTGAAGATGTTCCTGACTCTTGGGCTTGGTTTGCCAGATGCACCATCTGAACTGGAAAGGGACTGCTTCCATGCAACACAGCGACACTGAATCTCTTCTTACACCCATTCAGGCTTGTCTGGCTTCCTCAGGGTTGCACTCTGTGACCTTCAGTGAAAATCAGCTTCCAGCTATATTTCTAATGGAGAAGGCACATTTACTTACAGAAAGTGAGTAATATACATTTTGTTCTTCAGATGTTTGGAAAATCAAAATAACTATTATTACTACCATTGTTTATCCCCTTCACGGAACTAGACATATACATTATGTTTGCAAAACAAAATCCTATTTTGCCATTGATATTTGACATTTTTGACATCCATTGTTAAATAACAATTCTTAAAAGGTTATATTCATAGCTCTCATAGAAATATAAAAAGAAGTCAGGGCTAGAAAGATAGCTTAGTCCATCACCTGCTTGCTTAGTCCATCACCTGCTTGCGTTGTAAGTACATGGACAGTTCCATCCCCAAACTCATGGTAAAAAGCAAAACAGCTAAATGTGGTGGAGGAAGTTTGTAGCCACGTAGCTGGAGAGGCAGTGACAAGCTTGACCTCTTGGGCCAGCCTGGCCTACTTGGTGAGCTTCAGGCCAGGGAGAGTTGACCTTGTCTCAAAAAGAGAGTGGGTGACACACGAGTAACTACACCTGAGGCGAGATTGTCCTCTGCCACCTTCTCCACATGTGTGCACCCACTACATACATGTGCACATGAACACACACATAGAGGAATGCATGTCAAATTTATAAAACCAATAATTTAATGAAGGAGCAAGTTAAATGTTATGATCATTCAAGGAGAATCCATTCATATAAAAGGGCAACTAAGAAACGTTAAAACGACATTATAAATAGATGCAAAAGCAGCAAAAATTAAACCCATTTCCCTAGGCCAACAATCAATTGCATTTTCAATGGATGCAGTTTGCATCTCCATGGACAAGAATCATTTGTGCCGTTCCTATTTCCTATAAAGTCTACAGTGTGAAATAGCTGATGTCAAAGGACTCGTACATCCACAGAATCAAGGGACTAGGGGGAGTGCTGGGGGAAGTGACTAATTTTTCATGGACTCCAATAATCTTTCATTCTTTTCTCTGGGGAGGAAGTCACCAAGCAGAAAGCATTGCATAGTGCTGTGACATACTTTCCCAGGGCTCGCTCAACACAGAAGAGCAAACAGGACAGACTCCATTTTCTGAAATAGTATGAATTCATTTTGTGCTTCTCTCTCTCTCTTTACAATTTATCATATTTTCTATAATTTTGTTGTGATTTTTTTCTTTTTTCCCTCAGAACCTATTCATTAAACATTACAGTTCTCAGACTTTGTTAATTCTCTCTTCTTATTTTTTAATTGATTTTTACAGTTCCGAAATAATTGGGCTACAGAAATGCTATTTACGAAGAGATTGATGATTTCAGACTAATCATATGAGACATTTTGTTAACAAGTGCTAAAAGGTAGTATTGGCTTTGCTAACTTAATTGTATAAATGATTTAGAGGAAATTTTACTTTAATAGAAATACAGAATTAATTCTTGGTCACTTGAAGCCATCTATGAAATATATCTGGAGCAGACTAATTTTATTTTATGTCCATCATGCTTTAAACATACTACATTTATTTATTTCATGTGTGTGTGTTGGCATGTGTGTAGAGGCCAGAGGACAACTTTCATTTCTTTCTTTCCATTGTCTAAGTCCTAGGGATAAAACACAGGTTGTCACGCTTGGTAGCAAATGCCTTTATTCACTGAGCTAACTCACTCGCTAGCCTTATGTACATCATACTTTATGGATCATCATTCTGGAGGGGTTCTGTGACTTGAGAGTTCAAATGAAACCAAAAAAGTCTGTCTGAAAAAAAATAGGCAACATCAGTACATTATTTGCGTGTTCCTACCCAGGGGAAAAATAGTTAACTCAGAATTAAAATGTTGCTTTCAACAAAGGATACTCTTTTACTCTCTAAATATACCAAACTTCTGTGGTCAGATTGTCATAAATCAGTGGTTTATAGAATTTGGAGAACCCAAAAATAAACTATCCATATGGAATAACAATACTGCTGGTTTATATAAAGTTCTTCCTCTGCTAGCAGATAGAAGGATCTGTTGATTCAGGACTAGTAGCTGTTCTCCATATGATCCATGTCACTCGTTCCCACCACCACTCCCAGTCCCTGGGTATTTGCTGTACTTATGGCAAAAGTGTTTTAGAAAAAGGATGAATGACATTTCTTCGAAAAGCAGCCCTGAGAGCTTGCTCTTGGGAATATGAAAACAGTGTGCTACACTGAGATGTAGTTTAATACCCTGCAGAAAATTTTTGAATAAACTTAGAAAGGAAGAACACATCAGCTCTTGTTTTCGAAAAATGTTCAGGATTTTAACTTCTTGACCCCATCACAAAGAATTATAGGCAGGCTGATGGGTGAACTTCAGACGTGTGGCACTCTTGCCAATCCAAGGTAGGCAAACTGGGACCTTCTATTTCTAGCTCTAGTACAGGGAGAGCTGAAACACAACATTGAAATCATCTGAGAGTAATACTTGCTCGGTCTTCATGTTACTGTGTCAACAGTGTAAGGTTCTTCCCAGTCTCTGCTGAGCCCTCTTCCAAGTCGACTTTAAACCACCTGCAACAAACCAAGACCAGTCTAACATTCAAGGCATTAGGACAGCAAGCCAATTGGTAATATTGCTTAATATCTTGAACCACTGTGGGGGAAATAACAAAACTGACCTATTAGTCATATCCTTTCTTATAAGAATGGGTTTTCATATTTGGGACAAGAAACTAAACGACAAAAATACTTTTTTAAATTAATAAGTATTGTTTTCTTGGTCACTTTATACTTTCTGTTTTAATTGAGGAGCTCTGGCCTTTGATTTCTCCTTAGTAAACAAAAATCATGGTTCATTTATTTTGTCTTTAAACATGGGAGATTGCGTGTTCTGCTTTTGTAATTTTTGGGATGTGGTTTTCCCTCTTTGTTACATGAAACATTTTGAAACTGTTTCTACACACACACACACACACACACACACACACACACACACACACACACACACACATACACAGAGAATTTAAAACCTAATAAACCCAATACTTTCATACTTGCACAGCTTCTTTGGGCAGCTCTGCAAGGCCAAATCTCATAGTTGACAATTTAAAAATTAAATTAAATCCTAAGAATATGCATCAGTGTACAGCTAAGTTGTAGATTCTAAGACTGACTAGCTTTTGTGCTAAATTCCCCTTCAATAACCCACTGGAGTCTTTCCCCTTCACCTTTCTGAAAGAGTTGGAACCTAGATGTGGGCTGCTTGTGAAGTACCAGGCACTATCTAAACCAGTACCTTCACCTTCTCCGTCCTCTCCTAAGACAGTGATACAGTTTGAGTCTGAAATGTCCACAGACTTGTGTTTTAAATGTTTTGTATGGGACTGGTTGTCTTTTAAAATCTGCGGTTGTGGGTATACAGGGTTATTGTGGTGGAAACAGGACACTGAAGGGGGCTTTCAAGGCTATCCCCGTTTGTGGCGGCAGCCTGCTCTCTTTGCTTCCTGGCCTACCACCTCATGAGCATTCATTGTATGTCGGCTACTATCGTAGACCACGTGGCTCTGCCCTTGCTTTACCACCATGATTTCTCTGTAAGTTTCTTCTGTGAAGTGTATTTCCATAGCAACAGGAAGAGTAACTAACATAGGAGGGAAGTTGAGGGCCTTGGACCAGCCAGGATGGAAGTTGTAATTCCTCATTCCTGGGGCAAACACATTTCACTGTGGAACCCACTCTCATTTGATAGGAACTTACGTTTCAGTCCAAATCACAGGCTGTTTTTAAGAGTTGCTGGTACAAAAAAAAAAAATCAGGCTATTATTTTTTAATGAAAATCATTTCTAAAACTTGTGTTTCTTTTGTTTCAATTATGTTTTAATTTTAGTGCAGTTTTAGGGTCACAGAATTATTGCAAAGACGTAACAGTACCTATGTGTCTCCCACTCAGATTCCAGCTAGTATTAACACCTCAGATTATTATAGAATACAGTAGGAGACACTTGTCAAAATTGCCCATTGTTGGTACATTAGTAATGAAATCTACACATTGTTCAAATTGCCATGAGCTGGATTTTGAAGGGGAATTAGGTCCAAAAACAAATCAGCTTTGTTCCAAGATCCCATGAAGGAGTATACATTTCATGTCATAACTTACTGACATCGTGTATTTATGAAAAGAAAACATAAAGCCAGCACTTGGGAGCTGATACAAGTGGATCTCTGTGAGTTCAAGGCCAGCCTGCTCTACAGAGCAAGTTCCAGGACAGGATCCAAAGCTGCACAGAGAAAACCTGTCTCAAAAACCAATAAATAAATGAACAAATATAAATAAATAAATGAATAAACAAACAAATAAATAAATGAAAGAAAACATAGAGATAAAATCCCATTTCTATTGTTTACTATCAAGGGTGTGTACACTACCAGGTAACCAACTGACTGCCCTTGATTGCTTGGCTTATGGTGGTGTTTGTTGGTTTACTCTGCTGTGAATTTCTTCCTCCCCCCCCCCCCACTTTCTGTGCCACTTTTAAAATTAGAGTCACTATACACAACTCCGAGTAGGAGTTATATTCAAGTTTAAGGGCAGAGTGTGTACATGAATTATCCAAAGTCCTTTTATATGTGTATTTGCCTATGATCATGTACTCACACACTCTTTTGTTGAATTATTTATTATTAGCAATAAGGTTTCATAGATATTTATTTCATATTGTGGTTAATAACCCAATGCTGGTATAACTCCATGGTAAACTTATCAATTAAAGTACCATTCCTCTATGATGTCGATTTAGTTTCGATTTTACACAGTCCAGGCACTTCTAGAATGACTTGGTCAGCATTTTGTCCATCACTGCAGACAGAATGGGAAATGATGGGTTATGTGTAGTCATTTACAGATGGGAAAGAGCAGAGTGAAGAAATATATGAGAAGTATTTTAGTTGAAGCACAGAATGGAAACTGAGTGGGGTCATACGCATCTAAAGTCCTGGCTTCTTAGGAAACTTACGTAGTGGAATCCCTTCAACTTAGGAACTTGAGACCAAACAAGTAAGACAGGAAGAGAGAGAAGATAGTGTGCAAATACTGAGGGTGTAATCGAAGGAAACAAGTATCAACCACTCTAATTTCCATTCTTGTTATAGTAGTTAAAGACTTATGTTATTAAATGCTCCTCTTATTCTATTTTATCTTGCACATTTTGTGATTATATTTCTAAGAATAAGGATCAAAACATTAACTCAGAAGGATTAGAGACTAGATTTAATTTTTATTGTCTAAATCTTACTAAAGAAGAACTTAAAGTAAAGTGACTTTAGAGTCAAGAGATTCATATATATGACATGAAAAGGAATTTAAGCTTAGAATATGTTTCTGCTATGGGGCAAGTCTTAGGGTGCAAATTGTGGAAGCTGAAGTGCTCAGCTGTATTGGTAGCTGTGATATCAACCCAGACTTTAATCTACCATCCTCTTCTCTCTGTAGGATGAGTCTCTAAAGCAACTGCAGGTTGTGCATCAACCATGGCTCTTGCCGAGTGACACAGAAAGTGAAGGAGTTGAAGCAGAGCAGGATAAACGTGAGTAGAGGCCATGTTCTGTGACAAACGACTTTTTACCAAACTCCCTAATAGCATTGACTCAGTGTTATCCTAACTGTGGGAGAGAGGTTGATAAACTAACTTTTGAAACATGAGTGTTTGTCTTGATACCAACAGAGGATGGTCCAGCTAAAATCTCCTATGAATACTACAGGATTAGTGTTAGTGACAATTTTAGTATTTGACACTTTGAAAATATCATACAATAGGGTAATTATTATATGAAAAATTATACTTATCAGTTAAAGTATGAATAAAATAGGCTTGGAAGAAGCAGCTTGGAGTATGAAAGGAACTTTGGAAATCTGAAGCAGTTGCTAACAATCTGGAACATGCATAGAAAAAACATGCACACACATGCAGACCCATTCCTCTCCCTGTCCTGTCCATTCATATTTAAGTAGACATGAGCTCATATGCTATTGTTTTGTTTAGTTATTTTCATCAAATTCTTTTGAAGCCTTCATAAAATTTGTATTGAAAAAGAAACCCAAATAACTGCTGCAGGTATTATATAGACATGCTACGTGTATGATTTGAGTTAGTTTAGCTATCAAATCAAACACAGGTGCCTGAATTTGGCAAGATCAACATTCTTATAGAATGCCATTTGGTAACTGTCTCTATGTAACTCTGATAATGAACTAAAACCTGAATACAAGGAGAGGATCCATAGCAGTGCATTGTAAGCACTCACACGTTCAGACTCATCTCCTTTCCCTGAAACCCATGCTTATGGCTAGTTTTAAGAATACACTACTCAACCAAGTGATATAAAGGAGATAAAAATCTTCAGAAATTTCTTCAACCTTGGACATTTAGTACATATTGTATTTTTCCCCAAACTTCCTCCTCTTCTAATAAGATGCAAAGTAGTACTTTCTCCATCCTATTCAGACACTTAACAAGCCTCCACAAATATCTGAAATGTGAATCAATATGAGTCATTGAGTGAATGAATAAGAGGGCGTTTTGGCACTTTCCAGCTTGTTTAATAAGGAAAATTTAGGTTGAAAAAAATTAACAATAATATTATTATAAATATTACCTATAGTTATATTACAATTTTGATATTGGAAACATAGTTTTATTCATAGATTTTGCTGAGTCACCTATCAATCATTCTAAATAAGGCCATTTTAAACTCTTGTAATCAGACCTAGGACCAAAAATACTTGACAGTGGTAAATTGTTTGAAATAAAATCAGGGTTTAAAAAAATTAGGTGGTAATAAGAGCCATCTGGAAATGGAATGTTAGCATGCAATGTAGCTGGACTCACCTTAGACATGCAAATATTTGTCAAGAGTGACTTCCAATAGCCAGGTGCTGGGACATGTGCAAGTTGGAGCCACTGAAGCTCTGGCAGCTGGCAACACATAGCTAGATCATCTAGGTCTATTTTCTCAGTGAAATGAAGTAGATGGTATAAATCTATGTGAACCGGGCAGCGTACTTAGAGTTTACAGCTTCATATGCTGGGAATTTGTAAGTATAGAAGAGAACAAGTTCATCTTTCCAACTATAACACCTGTTTCTTGACTCAGCTTTTTATAAATAATACCTAGGGAATGTTATGAAACTATTTAATTTCTCCCAAGACAAAACAATCATGGAAGAAAGTTTCCAGAAAAATCTCAGGATCTTAGCAGTAGTGCACATTTCTAATTGCACTGCTTCAAAACAAAATTTTGCTCAGTTTTTTTTTTAATGTGTAAGATAGCTTCTTTTTAATGTGTACCTGTAAGAAAAGATACTTCTGAACAATGAGGAAAACCTTTATAAGTTTTCAATCTAAACAAGCAGAGCACTGGTTAGGGAGATTTCCTCTTTACTCTCTTTTATTAACAAACTCTAACTTACAGAATAAAGAAACTCATGTCTAGGGTACATATGTAGTTTATATCTCTCAGATAATAATGCAAAGTCACTAAATAAATTAACTACAGATGTCTGGATCTACAGGAGTTCTTCATGACCCCAAATCAGCAGCTCTGTACATTGTACAGGACTTGGATTTCTGCATTTTTTATATATCCTTGGGTGATTTTTGCTTATCCTAAATAAATGGCAACTATCGCAAAGAAAAGTTCAAGAAAATAGAAGTTGTTGTTCTTAGTATTGATTTCATATTGGTCCTCACCTCTTTAGACCTTCTCTTTCTGTGATCTAGAAATCAACTTCGTAAGTAAAATGGGAGGTAGAGGAAGAAAGAAGACAAGAATTGGAAGGACATAGAGAGAAACAAGGGACAAATCCTCCACATTGAAGTTTAATGTTTATAAAGTCAAAGCTGAAATATCAGTCAGCATTCTTTAATTATATCTTGTATTTAATAAAAATATTTGTGTTGGGGGACACTAAGTGTTCTTGGTGTAGTATAGTTCTTTGAACAGGGTTCATTTGGAATGTATGAAGCCCTGAGTTTCATCTTTAGCATCACAAACTAACTGAAAGTGAAAAATAAAAAAGGAAACAAACAAAATGCCCAACCAAACCCACAAAACGATGGATGTCCAAAGTTAACAAGTGCCAGCCAGGCATGTAACTCACAGCTATGATGCCAGCACCCAAAAGGCTGCCAGAGGAGAATCCTGAGCTTGTGGCCAGTCTGGGCTACACAGCCAGACACTGTCTCAGAAAACAAACCAAGGTCAGAATGGTACATAGAGGTTAACCATGCTATGATGCATTGAGATGTCAGAGATGGCTTAAGATTCTACAAACTCCAAGGACGTCGGGGTTGAGATTCTGTAGTCTAAAGCTCATAGAGACAATGTGTGTCTGTAGGAAGAATCGACTATATAAAGCCCAACACCTAAGGAGCTACCACAAGTATGAAAAGGCTGTGATCCCCAGCTGTAGAGAAAGCCAGGAAGTTTGTTTTTTGTGGGTTTTAGTTGAAAAAGTAGTTATCCATACAAAAACAAATGTCCAGGTCTCAACTTGCTTGAGTTTAAAGGTGAACTTCCTAGATTATTAGGAACCTAAATTGTTGTATAAACTGGCCTTTCTTAGTAAAATGCATAGGGCCCTTTCCTCAGTAAATGTAAGAACTGTAATATTTATAAACCGTAAAGATTTGAAAATCAACTCTCTGGAGATGAGCTCTCAGACAAGATTTATAAACTTGGTGAAAAGTCACAGTAGTACAAAAGCTTGTCAGTGGGTGTGAGAAAGAGTAGAACTGGCCAGATCAGGATGCAAGGGAACAGGACCATCAAGAAAATTTCATATGGTCAACAATTTGAAGATACAAAATAAAGATAGAAAAGAATCCTAAAAGATTAAGAATGTTAGAAGAGGTGGACATTTCGAAGATATCAAGTGAATCATTTCTTATGGAAAACTACATGATTTACCCAGCAGTATTTTCTAATTACACCACAGTGAAGTTATTGTCAGCCTAGTTGTTGATGTTCTGCCCTGTTTATCCCGTAGGCAAAACACCAGTGCTTCTCTGCATTCTAGGGTCTGCCATGCACTGTCTTCCGGCCTTTGCACTTTCTGACACTGGTCTTATTGGGGACCCTTTGAAGATGGAGTGATGTATTTTCCAGCTTCTTCTAAGATTGTCTCTTGGGTTTTGACTTTTGACAAAGTCTGTGTAGGTCTTAACATCTTAGAGCTTCTTGTTATGTAAATCAATATTTCTTCAGTCTAATAGAGGTTTTTTAACCTTTGTTCATTCAAAAACTCTGTTCCTTCTCATCTCTATGTCTCTTTTTTTGGATTCCAAAATATATACATTCTTTCCAGTGTTTCAAGAACCTCTAAGTTACTCTTTATTTGTCTTTTTCTTTAATATTTTTGTTCCTCAGAATGAGTAGTCTCAAGTGCAATTATCTTTTTCTTACTTGGAGTGGATGATCTCAGCTGACCTGTCTTTAAACTCTTTGATTCCTCCTTATGTCTGCTCAGCTCTGCTATTGAGCCCCACTCCAGTGAATTTCAACTCCAGAACTTTCGTCTCATTGTCTTTTATAATTCACATCTCTTTAATGATAGTTTAAACTTATCAGAACAGCTTTCTCATACTTTTCATTAATTTTTGATACCACTTCCATAATTATCTGAATATGTTTACAACAATTCATTATTGATTAAGCCTTTATCTTGTGTGCCTGTCAGCTAGACTTCCCTGGTGACAGTTTCTATTGACTGCTTTATTTAGATTTGTGGACCCCAACTTTGTGATTCGTGACATATAACTTGCTTGGTTTTTTTTTTACTATATTATTTTTGGAATTGACTACAGAAGCTCTGTTCAGTGGTTTAAGTAACAATTGGACAGATATTAACATATATCACACTACTTACTTTCATGGCATGGGGACCAAAACTCTGTAAAGAAAGGTATTGAGGGAGTAGAAAGTTTATTTTGTTTTACTCACACTTTACAGGCTTTTAGTCCACAATTGTTTGGCCTCCTGTGCTTGGGCATGACATATGTAGAGGAAATGAGATAGAGGTACAACAAACTAGTAACAGTTGGAGCAATGATAGAACTTAAGCTTTTAAGGTGATGTAGCATGTGTATGAGAGAGAGAACATCTGTTCACATCTTTGCAGACAGGAACCCGAGCACAGTAGGCACCAAAGGATGGATATGACCTTCAGTGGTCCATCCCCAGTGACCATCTTCTGCCAGCTAGGCTAGATTTCCAAAAGTTTCCAGATCCTTTCAAAATAGTAGCACCAGCTGGAGGCCAAGCATTCATAACATGAAACATAATGCATCATATGCCATAGAAACATCAACTATTTTCAGTTCTGCTTATACAAGGCCTGTAACTCAAGCAAAGGGAGAGATAGAGCCATATCAGGTCTTTCCTGGAAGATGTACAGCTTTGCATATCTAGGTAACTTCCTATAGAATCACATTCACTAAATTTACTCCTTTCTTTCTTACACCCCTTTTCTTGTCTCTCCTGTCTCCCTCTCCCACTCCTCCTCCCCTTCCTCTTCTTTCTTTACCCC